CTCACCAAACAGTACTGATGAATACTTGGCCCGCAGGCATGCAAGAGCAAGAGTTGATAGTCCAACAGATAGCACTACCGACAGAAATTTGTCCAATATGCAAGAATTCTAGAGAAAAAGCAGATTCACTATAGTGTTCAGAAAAAGGCAGCCCCAATATTCAAGAAAAGCAGATTCTTAATAGTGTACAGATAAAAGCAGATCCACCGAAAGCAGATTCTCAATAGTAAAAGTTGATAAGATTATTCAGAAGCCGACATCAACAGTTCAACAATAATTTAAGACCATCTTATTTCTAAAGCATCTTTCATCTCAACCGTTTATGCAAAATCTGCAATCTCAGCCGAAGATTCATCCCTCTCCTCTTCTATAAAAGGAACTTCTCTGCTCAAGAAAAGATCATCGAGTTTTAGAGCAATCAAGTCTAGAACCATCAAGCATTCCAGCCTTTAGTTTCCAGTGTGTTTTGTGACTTCTTTTAGTATATTTCCTTTGTAAAATATAGTGTGAAAGTGTTCTTTCAATATATAGTGTGAAAGTGTATCCCTGTATATATGAAATAAATTATCCAGTTTGTTCTTATTCAAAACTTCCTAATCCCAATTTAGTATTTTAAGTACTTTCGGGTAAAAGACTTCGGTCGACAAAAAGATCAAATATATCGATTTTATTTAGCCAGACAGTGTAGATCATAGAATTTTCTTGAATCCAACCAGTACAAGCAGCCTTAGAATTAAATTGGCAATTTCTTCTGTGAGTTGACTCGAACTGTTGGCTTGTCGGCCCGTTCTTGCCGATGTTCAGGCGTTTTTACAGGGCGTTATCAGGTTCGGTAGTCATTTCTGTGATTTAATTATTAAATTTATTCTATGTTTATTTTGCGTGCTTCTATCGTGTTGGATTCAACTCAATTTTGGTATCAGAGCGTATACTGTTTCATTAAATTTAATTTATATATAAGATCTTTTGTCTAAAGAAGTCTATAAGCCGTTATTAATCTAGTGTGAATTTTAATTTAGTGGGAAAAGTATTAAAACGTTTGTTCAAGAATCTTTCAGTAAGCTTATTTTATGTTTTAAAACTTTTATGATATAGTCATATATTCTGCTGGGTCAAAGTGACAATATAACTTGTTGTACGGTCTAAAGTAGAATATCATTCCATTTTAGAGAAATAATTGTGTGGTCCTTTCATTTGTAAGAAAAAGTTTGTGTGGTCCCCTAATTTTATTGATAAATCAAGAAGTTGACATCATTGCATTGTAATATTTGGGCCTTAAGCCCATGTATTGATAAAAATCCCTTAAAAATACATATATGGTTATAGTTGACCTTGGCTAAAAATGCCAATGGGTGTGTAACCAATGATATAATATGTAACAATCCTCTTTACCATATGATATAATATTGTCCACTTTAAATTTGAATCTACACGATTTTGTTATTGGGCTTTACTCTCAAAGGCCTAATACTAATTGTTGATAGCATCACCATATATAAACACTTCACCTTTCTCCTACCCAGTCAATGTGAGACTATACATCTGTAACTCGTCAGTGTGGTTGGACATGTAAAATTTTTGTATTGATTCCTTCATTTGAGTCCATTTTAATAGTTGCCAAAAATACCTACTCTCTTTTTATTCTCAGGGAAAAAGCATATACATATACATGTATATAATAAATGGCCGAACCAATCTGCATATGACATAAATTACTTGTAGTTTGTGGAGAATAAAAAAGATAATATATAAAATATATTTTTTAATTTAAAAAAGTGCCTTTCAAGGGCTTCATAATGAGTAAAAAATGTGACCACTTACTGATTAAAAAAAAAAAAAATTTGTCAGCACTTTTAAATTTAAAGTCACCAAGCTCAATGGATATAATAAAGCATATCCATGATATGAAATGTGGACCAAGGGCAAGATTCACATATCATCTACTTTAATATAATTAATTATATATATTTTCTTATCAACACTTTTGATTTCAAATTTTCAATTATATGTTTTTGAAAAAAAGCAAAATTTTAGAATATATTCACTATTCCATAAACTAAAATAGTCACTAACACACTTGAATAAAAAAGATGGGAACATGTTTAATAATGTAAATTGATTAAGTTTTGGGTGACAAAGGATAGTCAACTATGTGAAGTGAGAAACAAAATTCGTATCATTATATTCTATGTAATCTGTATGAATAATTTTATAAAACGAATGTAGAAGATCGAGGGTTAAATAAAGAAAAATAATATAGTTGATTACTATTCAATTCAAACACAATTTTTTTCATAACGTGATCATCGTAAAATTCTTCTAACTTAATAACGATTCTTTTCATAACTTGATTATCATAAAATTTCATTTCCTACATGATTCTCCCCCTCCCCCCCTTTTTTATGTGTATTTAAAATAATAGAAAAACATATTTTTAAGTAAGAAGAATTATTTTTGTTGATTTATTTTATTGATTTTTTTTTTTTTTGAAAGGCATGTCATATTTTAATTTTAATTGATTTTTTTTTTTTTATGGGGCCAAATATAGCACAACTCTTAAATAATGTAGATTCTCTATTATTTGTATCAACGCTTGAAAACAAGTATAAGTAAAACCGTATCATTAAGGACTTTTATTGTGACTAGTGGATAAAGTTGGTAAGAATATCTCAAATCAATGGAAAATAATATAGAAAAAAGAATGGTTTGCAAAATGATTATGAAACAAAGGCCTGAAATGACAACTTGCAAGTTTTGCAAAGTCTTTTAGAAACATAAGCGTAATAATTATGGTTGTTTATAAAAAGTAAATCAAATACGTGTGAACGAGCATAACTTATGAAAATAGTAATAAAATAGTTATTGATGTAAGTATATATATATATATAATCTTGGTTTCATTCTTTGTATCATTGTGATTCTAATGAATAACTTTCCAAAGGGACATTCTTATAAGTTATTTCATTCAGTACTCGTCACATCAGTCACTAGTACAAAATTTCAACAGATATAAATATTTATATCATTTTTTACCAGTATAATCAGGAACGAAGTCAATTAAGACACAGTCCCTATGAAAACAATAATAAAATAATATATATAATATATTTTTAAAATTTTTTCATATATATGAAAATATTTATACAGTGTCCATGATTTTTAAAATTATTTCAATTTTCTTAAATTTCTTTTAAAAAAAATTTAAAAATTTCTTCCTCAATTGAAACTCTTTTTTTATTTTATTTTATTTTATTTTTTTATTTCTACTTCTTAATTTTTTTTTTAACGTACATATTTTGAATTATTTATTTTTGGATAATGTTTAATTACTTACCGGTGAGTAGCTTCACCCTACTCACTTCTTATATATTCTAATAATAATTTACCACATTAATTTTAATAAAAAAAATAATTCACGTTTATTTAATGATTGATCAGAAAAAATACAGAAAGATATGAATTATTTTATTATTAAAATTGATGTGATAAATTATTATTGGAACACACAAGAGTTGAATAGGGTGAAACTATTCACCGATAAATAGCTAAGCATTATCTTTTACTTTGTCTTCTTCTTCCGTATGTTACTCTCCTAAAACGCACTATATATGTTGTGACTTGTGAGGCACACAACCTATCATTGCTTTAACAAAATAGGAATAAATTTATAATTGTCTTTAAAACTACAAACTTAAAATGGTATAATTTTATCACATCACAATACTTGTGGAGTTGAAAAAATTGCTTAAAATATATTGCATACATAAAATAAAAGATTTTAATGTAAATATTAGCCTCTCAGTCATTAATTAAGTATACAAAATTAAGAAATTTACAATTTTCTTTAAAACTATGAACTTAAAATGGTATAATTTTATCACATCACAATACTTATGGGGTCGAAAAAATTGTTTAAAATATATTGGATACATAAAATAAAAGATTTTTATGTAAATATTAGTCTCTCAGTCATTAATTAGGTATACAAAATTAAGAAAGCATGGCACATGCAAGGTAAGGTACGGTTGAAACTTATGGAGTAATTTATTTATAGTACGAATCCGTCAAACTTTTAGATTCTTTTTCTTTTTGACTAAATTAAATCATCATCTTTTGCTTGCCACCATGAATGATTTTATTTAATAATAATTATTTTTTGAGTTGATTTTTTAGGACAAATTAAATTTATATAGGTTAGGATGTATTGAAAAACGGGAATGAAGAGTAGAAAAAGTAAAAAAGAAAAAGAAAAAGTGATGATGTCAATTTTTGGTTTTAATATTTCATCCAAGGGAGGAGAGAGAAAAGAGAAAAAAAGTTATTTTAAGATATAAATATTTGAGGGTTGATATAAAATCAGAGAATAGAAAAAAAAATTTATTTTAGGATAAAAATCTTTGAGGCTTAATATAATTTTTTTTTTCGTATTTATTAAAATTTAATAATATTAAAAAATAATTATAGTATAACTTAATATAAAAATTTTTTGAAAGCTTCTTATTAGTTGGGGTTAGAACCCTCCTACTAAAGAACTTAAATCTCGCCGTGTGATACACCAAAGAGGTGACTGTAATTGCTCACACGTGGGTATAAGTGCTGTATCCCCACACTCTAGTCTCTCACTAAAATTGTATGTTTAAGCTCCTTTCATATATATATATATATATATATATATATATATATGAATTTTAATCGGGATTAAAATTTAATTTTTTTTAGCACAAAAGGAAAATATTAAAAATGTGGGTGTTGATAAAAAAGTAGTAACAAGGAATTACAGTAAAGCAGGTAGGTTCCCCAGTTGAAAAAAAGTACAAAGAAGGCTGACAAAGAATAGGGTCCCCAGCAAATGACCAAATCAAATCAAATCAAATAATATATATATATATATATATATATCAGTGTGTATTCATTTCATTCTCTCGTTAGAAATAAGAAAACACTGAAACAAACAGCTGTAACAAATAGAACAAACAGTGGCTTTGACCGGCTGTAATGTAAACAATGCTAATAAAGAAACAATAAAACAGCAAAGTCAATAAGGGAAGGCAAAGACTTGCCTTTTGGCAGCCATTCTCGCTGGCCTGTGCAGCGAATCCAAGACCCACTTTCACCAACAAAACCAAAACGGTTACACAACTCCACGAGACCCAAACCCTTCAACAATCCCTTCATTATTACACTTACTATTGTCTGTTTATATGTGTATATTCCTATCTCTATAGCTCTATTTTGTTCAAGGGGTCAACCAGCAGCAAATTCTTTTAACACCCCCTTTTTTTTCCTGTGTTTTTCTTGTAAGATTGGGAGATTGGTGGATCGGCAAGTGAAATTCTTAGATAACCATCTGCTAAATTTCTTTGATTTGATTGTTTTTATGCTAATATGTAATTTTGGGATTGTTTTTGATTGTGGGTATGTTGTGTTTTGATGATCAAAATTCTTGGATTTTTGTTACAGGTTGTAAAATTTAAGGTTTTGGAAGAAGAGTTTGATGTTGATTTGTAGAAGAAGCTGCTGAGCAAGGGCTTAATCTTATGGATAATTTCTGCTGTTTCAGTTCTCATGTGAGGATAATATCACCCTTTTAATTTGATTTCGTTTATTTTTGGTGTTTTTTAATTTTGGGTTTATACTTAATTTGTAGTAGACTTGTTGGCATGGTTGTTTAGTTAGGTTCTCACAAGTCTGATCATCAATCAAGTTTCTAGGTGATCTTTGTACTTGCCCACCCTATTCATATGGGGTAAAGGCAATCATCATGATGATTGTTTATATATTACTTCAATTAAGTGGGAGTATAGTAGATTTGGTGGATGTTTGGATTTCTGTTGAGATGGGTAAGGTTGAATTATTGTAGTTTATGTCTGTAAGTCAAAAGGATGTGATTTCTTCCCTGGTCATGTCTCAATTGATGTTATGGCTGGTGTTTTGAGTTGATCTTAAAATTCTTAGAGGAGTTTATGATATTTATTGGATTATTGAAATTGGGGAAATCGGGCCAGAGCAAATTGTCTGGTTTCACTCCATAGTGATATCAAGTACAATTCTTGCTGTGTCGATTGATGGTGCAACTTGCAGGATATTGATTGCTTGATCTTATGTGTTTACAAATTGTAGCATCCTTGTTATCCTTGTGGTGAAATTGAGCAAACAATATCTGGTATTGGATTTCATAAATGCTGTATATAAAGTTATTGTTTACATTTTCTGGTTTTATTATTATGCAAGATTTTTTACAAAGTTCTCCTTCAAAATTAGCGTGCAGGAGGACGATCGTCATGTGGCTCTGGCAAAGGGAGAAGCCACCAGGGGCCTATTAAGTATGGATTCAGTCTAATAAAAGGGAAAGCAAATCATCCCATGGAGGATTATCATGTTGCTAAAATTCTTCAACACCATGGACGTGAGCTTGGACTTTTCGCTATTTATGATGGCCATCTGGGAGATAATGTGCCTTCCTATCTACAAAAGCATTTATTTTCCAATATACTAAAGGAGGTGGGTGTTTTTTTTTGTAATTTTTTGATTGGGATTTCTACTATGGCATCGGGATGCTGCCTTAATACATTAACTTTGAAGGATTATACTCTTACAATAAGTTGTCTAATCATTCAGGAGGAATTTTGGACTGATCCCAGTAGATCCATTTCTAAAGCCTATGAGAGAACTGATCAGGCAATTCTTACACACAGTCCTGACTTGGGAAGAGGTGGGTCTACTGCCGTCACTGCAATTCTTATAAACAGTCGAACACTTTGGGTAGCCAATGTTGGAGATTCACGAGCAGTTCTTTCAAAGGGAGGGCAGGCAATACAGATGAGTATTGATCACGAGCCCAACACGGAGCGAGATGACATCGAAAATAAAGGCGGCTTTGTCTCAAACATGCCAGGTTCTGTGACTTTCCGTGGCTTATTCTGATTTGTTTGCTGTTGGAAAGTCAATTTTATACTTGATTATTATACTAAACTTAGCCCTCAATCTGCCTTCTATCATCTGTTCATTGACCTTAATGTGGGAATATAAATCTAGATTGTTTCCTAGGGGCGTATATAAATCTAATTTATCTCCTAAAGGTTTGGATTTATGCTATGAGCCTTTGTTGATGTAGTTTTGGGCCTTTTGGCAAGCAATACGCATACTAAAATTTGAAAGTCTAATTGCATCTAGCTGTCAATCTTTTTAGATACCTGTATATCCATTCAATTTCTCATGTAAAATTTGTGTTTTAAGCTATACATCCTTGTTTGGACGAATTTATGTAAATAATGGTATGGGAAAAATACTAATTCTATTTTCACATGTCAAACAATAAAAAAGTCAGATACTGATATGAGAAGGGGGAAAAAAATATCCCAAGCTCTACGGGGAAGATCAAATAGTTCAAAGTGATTTTGTATGTTGTGATTGGAGATTTGAAACAATTCCCATAAGAAGTAGGTGTGTCCAGAATATGTCTCCAGATGTGGCACAACTTCTCCACTGTCTAACCCACCACCCACTCCCCCCAAAAGAAGTCATTAATGTATGTCCAGAATATGTCTCCAGATGCGGCAGACCTTCTCCACTATCTAACCCCCCACCCACTCCCCCCAAAAGACATCATCGACATAGTCAAAAATGAAGTTGATATTTATTTATTATGAAATGGGTAAAATTGCATGCGTGTCCTTAACAATGAAGACTAATGCTCAGCCGAAACTGCATAAGAAGGAACCCTAACCTGTTAAGTGAACTGAATACTGGGAGCACAAAAAATTCAATAGTAGTAGAACTGGATTCCCCAGCAACATAACATGAGACTGTTAACACCTCCTTAGGTACTTGCTGGCTATCATGATCCTCCTATTTCTTGCTTCCCATGCAATTTGATATATGACAAAGAGCACAAGCCCTGTCATACTTGCTACCCATGTCATTGTGTAAATTAGAATGACAACATTGAAAGTGACCCGAAACTTGCTATGGAGATTTTCTTAGGAGGATGCCTCATCCTAGTGCATATTGACCGGATCCTCTTCCTGATCCTTGAGAAAGAAAAAAAGAGCCCATTTTAATGAAGAAATAGGGCTGGGCAGTGTGAGTAATAAAATTTGTGGATGATAAGGTGATAATAATCATTTTACTTATAAAAAGTGCAATTTACAATTTATGAAGAAAAAGAATAGAGAACTAGAACAAAATATCTGAACACCCCCAAGGAGACTCAACCCCATCAAAGGATCTCTTATTTCTCTCCCTCCATAAGGCTCACCACAGGCAGAGGGAGCTGTCGTCCCCACATCTCTAACTTGGGGTCGCACTTGGCATACTCCCCAAATGTCAATCAAGCTCATCGTGGACTCTGGCATGACCCAAAATGGCACACAACATGTCCCAACCATCCCTAGCTCTGGGGCAATGAAGACGTAGATAATCCAATTATCTACTTCTCTCATCCTGCTTACACACACAAAACCAATTGACCATAATTTGACGCTGCCTTTTCAGATTGTCAATAGTCAAAATCCTCCCCAAGGCTGTTGTCCAAACAAAAAAGGCCACTGTCTGGGGGAGTTTTCGAGCGTCATATTCCTTTCCATGGAAAGGTCATCCCCTGAACATCCATCAACGGCAATAGAACAAAAGCTCCTCAAATTTCCCATTGCTCGTCTATCATATAGACTGTCGTTTATTTGGACTATTTCTTGTCTGTCATCGAAGCAGGTTCTGTTACAATGTATATTTATGGTTCAAATACACAGAAATTTGAAAAAGATAGTAAATTTATGTGATTTTTTAATATATGCAAAATTTGAGGAGAACATACAACCTATTGGGAATCCATCTGTATTTCTTAGAATCTGACAATAATTACACAGTATGGATTCATGTGGCTTCATGAATATCCATTATGGAGTGTTGAAATCACTGTTAACAAATACATCAATAATACACCATAATTGTTCTGGTTTGACTCCATGATGGTATACTCATGGTACAATAGTGTTATCAATAATAGTACACATGGAGTTCATGAGAGAGATGATAACGGGATGAGCTTTACATGTTGCATACTTCCATAGTTCTCTCTACACAAGATTTCAACTTTCTCTATGAAAGATGTGTTGTCATTCTTAAATACATAGTCAATGTGGATACTCGTATAGGCAAACGAGAGTAACAAAAGTGGGGATGACCTTGGCAGCTAGGTTATGCATGCTTACGTTATCAGCAGCAATTATCTGTACCATTGATATTGTTGCTGACAATAATATCCCTTCTTTTGCATTCGTTATATTTACGAACATACATGGTTCAATTGAGTAAAAAGAGGTTTAAAAGAGGACTTAATTATTGTAAACTCTCAGATTAAACTTTTAGAAGAATGTACAAAATCCTATCATGTTGGTTGTAACATTCTTTACCTTATTAGTTGTCTTACATCTACCATTGGTGAATTCATTGACTTCAATTTCCATTCACCATGGTGGACATTTACGGATCACTTGAATCAATATTTACTATTATTATCAGCTTGTAAGAACTAAAGATTGGTATCTATTCACTTGTGTACTTTCTCTTTAAACTTTGCATACTTTAGAGATATTAATTTTCTGTCTTTAAACTTCTTTACAATTGAACATATATATGCACTATAATAGCATGTGGTTGGATAGCGTAAGAGAAATAGTTTAAAATAAAAGTGGGTAGAATGTATTGTATCTCTTCCTGTATGATGTACCAATCGTTTTTACAGAATGTACCAGTTAATGCTTTAGAATGCCCAATCGGTTATGCAAAATGTTCTAGTTGTTTGTATATACAGTAAAAAAAAACTACTAGGCAGTCAAAAATGTCCATATTAACTGTGCACATATACAAATAGTTGGTAGATTTTGCAATACTATAGAGAACTGACTAGTATACTTTAGAGCCATAACTTACATATCATGCAAATTGATACATAATAAAAAGAATATGTCCCATTTATTTTTAACAAATGTCATGTTGTGTAGTTCTGACATGACTTGCTACTGTAAGCGATGAAGTGTCACCATGTGCGATACTAGTGTGACACCACGTGGACAGTGTCGTGGAGTTAGCATCCACATTTGTTTTATGTGGTAATGGGACTATGAAGGTAATTTAATGATTAAATGTCTTCTTAATTTTGCTTTCATGTATGGTCAAGTTTCCAGAGCTTTGCAATTCTTATAGAAATTTGACAGGTATGGTATTCTTTGTGTAATTCATTTAATATATATATTTTTTTTCCCCTTCTAAAATTATTAATTTAAAAATATAGATTTTATTAATTTTTTTAATAAATATTATGAACTGTTTTATAGTAATATTATAATAATATGTTCGAGTCATAAATTGTCATCACTATTTATGAGACCTATTTAGATGCCTGGATAATGGATAACAGATTTTGAAAAATTGAGGAGCAAAAGCTATTAAAAGGAAAAAGATAATCATTGACTACGATTAAAATTTACACTAATCATGTAGGTATAATTTTTTTCTTCTTAATTAGTACACACACACACATGCCTCCACTGAGGCTTGAACTCTTAACCTCCCTTTGGAAAGTAAGGGTCTGATACTGCTAGGACACTAGCCCATTGGTATGTTGGTTATAATTTACTAAAACATGAATTTAATTGACTTTTATCAGTTGCTATAAAGCTTATGTGGTGTAAGGAGATACTATTAAGCATTTCTATATTAGTGTTGACATCCAAGCAGGTAAAAACATTCATGATATGAAGCCAACATGAATGAATAGTCAAAGTTGTCTTACTCAATTTGTACCCCGTATGCTCCCACAATGCGTGACAGCATGTGTGAGAGCTTACTACAAAATTAATGCTTAAAAATTGCCAAGAAATTGACTTGTTTAAATTATTGCTGATATATAAACTACTTGATTGGATGACCAACATGTTGTGGGCTAAGTCCCACTTTTATTTTTATAAAAAAAAATAAAAAAATATTAAATGTGGAGATATGTTAGAGTTCGATTATTGAACTTTGGTAATAGCATCTTGATTGAAGGGACAATATGTGGATTAGAATTCTCAAACTTTTTTATTCTCATTGTTTAAATTCTTATTATTTTCAGGTCTAAATCATGTTGAGTACTTGCATAGATCAAGGAAAAATAAAAAAAAAAAGAAAAGAAAAGAAAACCATGTTGAATATTTCTTAAATACTTAGGGAATTGGGTTTCAGTTATCCATTAGCTTGTTTCCTCAGTATGGAAATTAAAATAGGTGGATGAAATTGTAAAAGAAAAAATGAAAATATTAAATGTAAAATGTTGTATAACCCAATTGGTCACAAACTGGTCTTCTCTTATTGAGATGATTCTCATGTTGGATTTGTGCAAACACAGTTGAGACTTGCTTCTTAGTCCCATGTGTATATTTAATGGTGGTAGATGAATTGGTAGCATCATATGTTTTTTTAAAATTTTTTAATGAACATTGTTTAAGAGGAGCAAGAGAACGCGCAACATGCATGCATCCTTTGTTGTAGGTGCAATGGAGAAGAAAGAATAAGAATACAAATAGGAGCTAAATTCATGTTTGGAAAAGAAACAAACCATACTTTGTAAGCCTAATTGCAAGTCACTACCTTAGAAAATTATTTCTTTAAAAAAAGAAATAGACTAAAGTTGCAAAAAAAGAACACCCCCTCCCAATCCCACCAAAAAAAGAAAAAGAGAAAAGGAAAAATAAAAAAGAATGAGAATAGAAATAAAATGTAATAGAAATTTTTATGTTGTGAAAAGAAATTACTCGAGTCAACAAAATCTTATTCCAACTCATTGAGGTTGTTTACATGAATTCTCCATTATATATGTCATTTATCATGTCAGAATGTCTATTTGCGACTCCTTTTTTCCCTAAAACTTGCTATAAATTTTTATAGACCCTTCCATATGCTTTCTCCAAATTTATAGCAATTATATAAAAATCATTCAACTTCAACCTGCATCGTTTCATTAGTCTACTCAGTAAATAAATTGCTTCCATTGTTGACTTTCTTTACATAAATTTTAATTGAGTTCCAAACATTATAATTTAATGTCATTATTGTTTAATGTCATAGTCATTGTTTTTTTTTATTTATTTTTTTGATAAGTGTCATAGTCATTGTTCTTTCACTCTTTTCCAAAGTTTCATGGTATGTTAGTTAATGTAATACATGCATAACTTTGAATATCCATTTAGTTTTATATGTAGTTTTTTAAATACTTTTTCTCAACTCATATGGCATTTCGTAGTTATCATCATCTTATTAAAGTAAATTTTTTCCACCTTTCTCAATTTCATAAGTTTTCAATAGGCATACAAGTCCTCTTTCTTTATGTATTCAATATGATTAAAATCTTTAGTTTTTCTTTCCCATAACTTAGTTTGCATGTGTGTGTGTGTGTATATATTTTCCCATCTTTTTTTTTTTAATATATTTTTTAAAATTCAAAATAAAGGTAGTCGTATGTTTTATAGCTCTTGTGATTTTCTTAGTTTCTTTTCAATTTGTATTTTGCAAAAAATTCTTCAATTCTAACTATCCGACAAATTATATAAAATTCTTTTTGTTTTTATTGTGGTTTGGGCATCCTCAATTCACCCCAAGTTTCATTATGTAATGGTCCTTTTCCTTTTGATTCTCCAAGAAACTATTTATATTGTTTTAATACACTAGCCATCGTACTTCATCTTATATTTTAAATTCTGCATTGCTTATTTTAACATCTTATTTTTTAGGGTTAATTACAATGACACCCCCTGAGGTTTGCCCTAATGACAACCATATACAAGTTAGTCTCTTTTTGAACAATGACACCTCCTTAAGTTTGATAAAGTTAATGAAGACACCCCTGTTACCTCTGTCAAAAGCTAAAATGACGTTACCCTTTGACTTTTCAATTGCCTCATTTTTTAATATTTTTAATTTAAATAATAATAAAAAAAACACTACACCATTTTAAGAACAAAAATACCCTCCACTCACCAGCACTGCCTTCTTCCTCATCTCTCTCCACCTACCCGTTGCAGGTTGCCATCTCAGATCGTCACTGCCGCTTCAGTTACAACCATTTTTACAACAAAATCACCACCATCCGCACCCCTATTGAAGACCCACGGTGGCAAAACTAATGACAACGGCCACTTTCTCCTTGCCAAAATTGTCGAAACGGGCTTATGGGTGCGAAAATTGAAGAGGGTAGAGGAGATCTCACCATGAAATCTTTCGTCTTTGGCTTCTCAAACTTCTTCCCAAGCTTCTCCACCACCACGTCGATCACTGTCACGCTTGACAATGCCGTTGAAATCACCAATCTCTCCCCTTTTCAATTGATCTTGATGCTCCAATCTCTAGGTTTGGGGCTGAAGGACATTAAGCTAGTTCCGACGATCTTATTGTTGTTGATGATCTTGATGGCGACGTTGTAGTCGGTGGTGGCGTCCCTAGCGTGGTAGACCTTGGCGAAAGCGTCATACTGTACTTTCAAACATGTCCTTCACACCTAGTTCAATCTTCATCACCTAATCATCCCTCCGACTGGGCTCACCACCGTCCACTTCGTCGCCGCCACCGACATCTAAGATGAGAGCTTAGAGAGAAATGGTGGTTAGTATACATCAAGGGCAATTCTGTCATTTATGTCCTTAGATATTTTACATTAAAAAATCAATTAAATTTTAAAGGGTAATCTTGTCTTTTACCATTTTTCTAGGTACTGTTTGGCTGAAATTTATGATAGGGGGTGTCATTGTTCAAAAAGGCCCAACTTGTAGTCATTATGGCAAACCTCAGGGGGTATCGTTGTAGTTAACCCTATTTTTAAATAATCTTATTTTCTCAACCTTTAGATTTCACCATCTAATTCCCTCTTTCTTAATGTCTTTATATATATATACATATATATATCTCTTTGAAACTGTCAACTTGTGATGTGATGTTAAGAGCTCTCTTGAAACCACCTCATAAACTTTGCATGTTAGATGATCTATTCTTCTATTTAGAAAATATTAAATGTTATTAAATGATCTCTTTCCAATGTAGGTGTATACGCTTCTAGAATAATCATCGCAACATTTACCTTGCACAATCTCACATCCTCTACAATCTTTTCTAAGTAGCATGGACACGGACATGATTCGACACACTGACACCTCAAATTTTTAAAAAGTAGGTCATGACCACTCGAATTAGAAAATTTCATTTATATATCTATTGAGTAAGACAATCACAAACTAATAAAGTTATATAAATTAGAAGATGATGCTATTCGAATGTAAAAATAAATAAATTTATATATGCTATTACATCCTACCTTGTCATTATAATTATATATTTGTTCATTACGTTTTGTGACATATATAATGTCAATTTTATTAAATATAAAGAGGTTGGACATTTTGACATATGTTCATGATGTTGTTTTTAGTACTGTCATGTGTTTGTTTTACAAAAGAATTGTATTGAAGGGTGTGGGATGTGTTGGTTGAGTGTCCCAAATGTGTTGACCAAGTGTTTGTTAGCCAATTATCTAAAATAATAAAATTATTCCATGAAGTGTCGAATATGTGTTCACGAAGTTTCGGTACTTCTTAGATCTTTTCTTACATGACCATTAAAGTTTCCTCCTATAAATAATTTATTCTATGGGTATTCCTTGAATTATTTAATTTATATGCTCTCAGAATTATAATTTAATGTGTTCGTCTAACTACTTATTCTAATTATATTTTCCCTAAAACAAGTTTAATCAATATAATCTTATCCACTTTCTAGTAGCAGTTACAACTTTAAAATTTTTATCAACTATTTTCCAACTCCATTTCTACGTCTATCTTTTCCGGAATAATTGAGTTTGTCTTGTTATTTCAATTGCATAACTCTCTCCGACCTATTTAGTTTCTTGTAGGCTTGCTATATTAGCCTTCCATTTCATAATAGTGTCTACAAATTCCATCTGTATGCCTGTTAATGCTCTTATATTCATGTCATTGTTCTTAGCTTAATTTTTTGGGCTAACTTTTTCACTCGTGCTCGTTTGAAATACCGAGGTAAGCCTTGCAACTTTTCATTTCATCTGAGTATTGATATTTAGCCCATTGTGTATTTTCTGAAGCACTCAGGAATGGGTATGACTCGTTGCTTTGGGGGAACGTCTTAATATTATGTAAATATTCTTAGCATTCATGTTCATAGGGGTTTGATAAAAGTTTTACATTGGCTGTTAGCTACCTAATGCCACCCTCCTTTTTTGGACTAGGGAGTCTGTGTAAGACAGTAAGATACTACACGTGATGTAGGTGAAGTTTGTGAAAACAAATATAATTATAAATAGCTTTGTGCATAGGAAATTATTTAAGAAAATTGTTGTACTATCCATAAACACTAGTACACTAATAATTATTCATGGCTTTCTCTGGCCAATATATATATATATATATATATATGGCCAATGGGGTTAAATTTGATCTATAGTAGAATTACCTTTTTTTAGTTCTTGGTTTAATGCTTTTAAACTGGCTTACATGATTTATGTTATCCCGTCATTGCTTCGAAGGAAGATTTTAATACATGTTTAAGCCTTTATTTTTATGTTTTTTTGTTTTGATAATTGAGTCTATTTCTGCTCCAAGTCCATTGTTACCTAACAGTTGCTTATTTAGAAAGCTAACTGCAACTAAGAGCAGTGCTTTTCTTTTCTTAAACTAGACATTGCGACTTTTGAGCTCCTATTCAACTGATTTCCTCAACACCATAAATGCGACCTTGATATGGAATAATATTTTTCTTACACTTTCGGTATGCATGAATAGTCACAAAATTGATGTCCCTTTTCTTCTTATATCAGGAGATGTTGCAAGAGTGAATGGCCAGCTTGCCGTTTCTCGTGCTTTTGGTGACAAGAACCTGAAATCACACCTGCGCTCTGATCCTGATGTAGCAAATGCTGATATTGGTGCAGATACGGATATTCTCATCCTTGCAAGTGATGGTTTATGGAAGGTGAATTCCCTCCCTCCCTCTCTCGCAATGATCATTTTGTTTTTATGGATATATACACAGATACACCATTTCGTTTCTTGTTTTGCTTGTGGTTTATCCAGGTAATGTCTAATCAAGAGGCAGTTGACATTGCGAAACAGATCAAGGACCCACAGAAGGCAGCCAAGCAACTAGCAAATGAAGCGGTGTATAGAGAGAGTAAAGATGATATCTCCTGCATTGTTGTTCGATTCAAGTGAATTCTGGTCCCGGCATGCAGGATTTGTATATTTGGGGGTTTCTATTGCATAGGATTCGGTTCTGTTTACTGTCACAAGTTCTATAATCTTGTGAATTCCAGCATTTGTTTGGAAGCTACTCCAAAGCAGGTTATATATGATGCCCCTCCCTCTCTTGTAATATTTATTTACTCAGGGTGTGCTGTTTGTTGTTGCTTGATTTCTTCAAGGTGTAGATTCATATCACATTTTTGTTTAAATTTGCTTGGTGACTCTGAAGCTATGCTGTTTACAACCATAAATTCTTGTAATACTTAATAGGAATTTGTTATTGCTTGATTTATTGAATATTTAGATCATACCATCACATATTTTTTCTGTGTGTAATTACTTTTGAAGCTGTGCTTTTGACAGCAATGGATTCTTGTAGTATCTAAACAGAGAATTTGTTATTGCTTGATTTAATCATACCATCAGTAGTTTGCACGACTTCGAAGCTGTGCTGTTGGTAACCATTGATTCTGTGAATAACTAAATAGGAAGTCGGCATTGTATGATTGAGACTGCTGCTCTATGCTATCATGTGCTTGCTGGTCTGACTAGTGCTTTCTCCCCAACTGCTGCATTGCCACCTTTCGTCGTGAATGGACAAACTTTGGGCGATACAGTATGAAAACTTCACTCAGCTTATCACCCATTTGATCGAACTTGGTTCAAGCTTTTCTGTAATATCGAGCAGGGTAGCGAATATATATATATTTTTTTGGGTTCTTCCCTATCGGTAAGATTCTAATTATTGAACAGGTCTCTTCCTTTAGATGCCATTTTAAGCTTTTGACATTCCTTCCATGAACTGATTCCCTTCAGACTGCGATGAAAGGGACGTGTCTGTCTTTCTTTCAAGTCAAAACTGGCAGTTTCTTTCTAATTGGCAAATCCTATGTTACAGTTTCAAGTCACAAATTTGTTGGTTCTTGTCATTTTCACAGTTGAGATAATACCATATTACTAGTTCATTTCCTAGATCGTTAATACTTAATACACAAAGAGCATTACTCAGTGGCATAATTGGCGCTCAGCTCTCTGAGCGGGTGTGCCCGTGTTCGAGTTTCCCTTCTTCCCTAGTTTGCGAGGAGAATTAATACACAAAAAGGTTCACCTACTATATGAGGTGAGGTGAGTTAGGATGGGGATCTTCTGAGATAAATCTAAGAGAAAATTACACTTAAGAATTAGGTGTCTTAAGCTTAATAATAAAGTAGTTTATATGATATATATATATATATATATATATATATATATATATAAAATAAGTATAAACTCTTTTATAATTTCAAAAAAAATCAGTACTTATCAAACATTTATAATTTGTATGCAATGATGGCAGACAAGTGCACCACCAATTACGTTGCCCATATAATTAAGAATTGCAGCTTTGACTGGATAAAATCTTTCTTAGAGTTGCAAACAAAACACCTTACAAAGGGTGACCTAGCCCCTCTTCATCCTAAAAGTACTGCTTATTCCATAAGAAAATGTCAAGAAGAAAGTGATTGATATATATATATTATATATATATAGAGTTGCCCATGCACAATTATATTTCTGATAATGATTGCTTAACTAATAAATTAATGGTCATTGAATTTTCAATTCTTTGCTTTAAATTTGAAACCCATATTTGCGCGTTAATAAGGCCGCCATCTGACTCCGCGGCATTCTTCCTTTATATGATGTAGTGGTCATAAGATGGAACACTCTATACATATAATACATATATTAATAGGTATATAATATGATTGAATGACAGGTGTTGGTATTACCCCAGAGTAAAGTGTCAGACCTTAAATGCCCCATCCTAACCCTTTCCCTTGCCCCCACTAACTCACAACTCTCTAACTATAGCCAGGAAATAAATTTTTATTTTTATTGATTTCTAATGTCTAAAAAGGAAGTTTAGTGTTTCAACTTCGTATTTAATTGAATTTTGACACAGAGTTCAAATCTTAGATAGTATATGGGAATGTTTGGTATGCATTTTGTTTTCGGTGTTTTTGTTTTTTGTCTGACGCAAGGGTCTTATGCCTTATCTCTTGATCTTTACATACCGTTGGCTCACTCTCTTGCTTTTCTTGATCTTGCTTGAATCATTTCCATCCCAACTTATTCGGAGCTTTTGAGATACGGGAAGCTAGAGGGCTCCGTAATCTCATCTCATCTAATCAAACAAGAATTCTCGTATATAAGAATGAAATATGAGATGTATCTGCTAGCCTGCGATCACAGAAGTTCAATAAAAATTGGTATAGCACTGAAGAATGGAAAAAAACATGTTTGGTAAAAAAATATTTTGTTTTGCACAGTGCTGAAATGTTTCGTGAATAATAGCAAAAATACAAAACACCAATTTGATATTTTTATACATTGATGAATAGTATAAAATAATAATAATAATTTTTTTTTTAAAAAAAAGGCTTAAATGACATTTTAAAACTAACTATTATAATTTATTTATTATTATTTTTTTCATAATTAATACTCACATACACATGCGCTTGAACCCTTAACCTGTTTTTAGAGAGTAAGGGTGTAATAATGCTAGGTCATTGGCCCATTAGCTATTATAATTTTCAAACTTGCAATACTTTTTTACCAAATATGATTTCATGTTTTTGTTTTAAAATTTTTTATAACAAATGAACGTTACCAGACATACTTTTCATCACTATTCAAATCACTTTAGAACAAAAATACTTGTTTTTATTTCGGATTAAAACAAAATGTCGAACCAAACAAGATCATAGTAACTGATTGCTTTAGCTTGAATTGTTTTTTGGGAATTTCGCTACAAAAATATTTTGCTACAATATCAAACTTGTAGCGAAACGTCAACCTTTTTGCTAATTAAGTATTATTGTTGGCAAAAGTGTTATTATTTAATTTAAATTTGTTATTTACTTCGGATTTGTCTGTAGTGACTTACTTACGGGTGGGGAAACGCCCTTCCGGGTCCTCAGGGATTAACTGAGTTGTTGAGGGGTTTTAAGAGTTTGTGCCATCCCGGACACTCCAGGTTAATCAAATAAAAAAAAAAAAAAAATTAAATTTGTTGTAAATGGTGAATTGTTTCCAACAAAATTATATTTGGTAGTAAATGTCCTCTTGTTTGTTTTTTGGGACTCCAATGCTACTGAACAACACAAAATGTGATTGCGTAAAAGAACTCTTTGTTCTGAATTTCTCATTAATATCTTAAACCAATCTATTTTCCCTTTTTGCCCTAAGAAGCACCATCTCTCTCTAGCCTCTAAGAAAGTGACCAAGTAGTTGGTTTTGACACGCTGCTGCGGCTTTCCAACGCCGTATACCACCCTTCGACGCCGCCGAACCAACTTGACACTCACTCTTGCGCACTATCTCTCAAACACGTCTCTATTTCTCTCCCTTTATAAAAAAGTGAATTGCTTAACTTTGTAGCAAATAACTTAACATCTGCTACCAAATCAAATTATAGTAATTATTATTAAATTTGCTACTAAATACAAATTTGTTGTGTTTGAATTTTTGATCCCTTGCCTTAATGCATATTGCTACAACTTAGAGCCAATTATTTCTTTTAGAACCTTTTTGCTAAATAGAAGAAAAATTTGTAGCAAAAAACCTAACTTGTTCCTATTGTCAAGGCATATGACCTAGTGGTATTTAATCCTCTCCCTTCAAACCAAAAGGGTGATGGGTTCAAGTCTTCTCAAGAGCATTGTTGGGGTTCTTGAGCTGAAAAAAACAAAAAAAAACGTGTGCCAATGGCCATTCTACGTGAATAGGAAGCAGAATCACAATGTCATGCCTTGCCTATTTGCAATTGTGTTGAGATTGTAGATATAAATAAAATATTCTAAAACATTGAAGAATTTGTGAAAATTCGTAGAATTTGTGAAAATTCGTAGATTATAGTTGATTACAGTCTTTTATATATAGAGTTTCTAAATATTTAGATAGTTAAGTGGTGAATTCTAGACATAAATCTTAACCATTGATTTGAATGTATCATATTGGTTCATTAGAAGAAAGATGGCTATATAATAGTGTATTAAGTTAAAGTGGTTTATTTACGTTTAGCAGTAATATATTAAAGATAATTGGAGTGAATATACATACAAATATATAAAACAGAGGTAATTATCCATTTTGTGAGAGGATATAAACGATAATTATCCATTATGTGAGAGGATATGTACGTTTTTATCTTTGGACCGACTTTTGGAACAGCTTAATTATAACACCTTTTAATCTGTACAATTATTATTTTTATTTTTCAACCTTATCCGGTAATTCATTTATCTAAATAATTTCAAAGTCTGAAATATGGAGTTGTATTGTCATCCAAAGTAGTCCATCACACCGTCAAAATGTATTTTTTTTTGTTGTGCCCTAATTTTTATATTACCAATTTTAGAATCCATTGGATGTGATCCAACGGTGCCGACACAGTAAACTTTTGTCAATATATGCATTACAATTTCTATTAATAGATTTTTACTTGGTGTTTGGTTCAATAATGAAATCTTATAAAGGCAATAAAAGCTACAGCTACACTGTTGAAACAAGCTTGAAAATAAACTATGGAAGGGCCGAAAGGCTTACCGTCGGAGCATACAGTGTGAACGTATGTATTTATTTAAGCCTTGTTGCATATTTTTCCCTATAGTTTGAATTTATAATTTTCAAGCATTGTTTCATCAATAAATTATTTTAAAGAATCCTAAATTAATTAATCAAAAAGAGCCATTTACTTTGTATAATAATTTAATTAATTTTTTTTAAAGAATCCGTATTATTATTATTTTTATTATTATTATTTATTGAAATCTCTATAAATACCACATTCAATTCATGTAATACCTTTTTTCCCCTCATAATCTATATAAAGTCTTTTTATTTTATTTATTTATTTGCGAGAAAATATTTATAATGTATCTTTATTAATTCCCTTTAAATTATGTATAGTGTCAACTAATATAACCGTTGTATTTTTTTATTTGTGTGAAGGTTTGTAATGTACATTTTTATCTCTATCAGCTAGTGGGAATATGTATAGTGTCAACAAATATTTTTTATTCATCAAAAGTATGAAAATTACATTTTATTGGATTAGTCATTGGAAAAAAAACACAAATAAACAATTGAAAAATATTTTATTTTAAAAAAATTTATTTATTTTTTAAATAAAAAAACAAAAAAATAAAAAAGTGAATAACAAGAGAGTGGGCTGAACACCCTTCACCGTGACTATCCAAATAAAGTGAAGAGTCACTTCAGCACGATTTAGAGAATATATCCCATTATTAAAAATTTTTATGAATGAAA